ATTACCAAGCTGCCTATGAACCTGCTCATTTTGATAGACAGGTGAAGTGAGGCCAAGAAAGGGGCCCAAAGATTTGCCCAAGGTCATATAGCATATTATTGAGAGAGCAAGTACAAGAATCCAGATCTCTTTATTCCCTGCCCAATGCTCATTCTACTTAAAAGTTATGCTTCACAGAAATCTTTTTCTAAAAGGAACATTTGAACAAATTATCTCCCCTCCTTCCCCCCCTCCTCCCTTGTTAGTTGGAAGTAAACACTCCTCCCAAGGAACTCTCATAGTACTTATTTTGAACCTCTTTTATGCACCAAAATTCGAGTGTCTTATTTTTCCCACCATCCTACTATAAGATCTGTAAAGAGAGGAAGCATGTCTTATTCTTCTCTCTATCCTACACAGCACCTTGAACAGAGACATGCTCATATTATATTAGGTAACTAATAATGACTGGATAAAATCGCTCATTGAACTGAACAAATTCGAGTGGGTTTCTTAACAAAGAACTGGCTTTTCAAGTTTCAGACATCATTTTCCATAAACATATTGAGCTAAGCAAAAGCCCTACATACAGTGTGATATATCTATGCAGGAGGTGAAGTTCTATTTCTGGAAGTACAGGAAACAAAATCTGAAACAGATGGAAAAATGAAGCTATAGTTCTTGCAGCATCTCCACTGGCAGCTTTTGGATCAAACCACCTCATATTTTGTAGTTCCCTAAGATCCCACCTTTAGTCTTTTACTCTCTTCATTATATACCCGGGCCAGGAGCAATCTTGAGAACATTACGTTCAAACTTTCTTATTTTATAAAGAAGGATACTGAGACCCAAAGAGGCAAGTGACTTACTTATCCACTACTGTAGGGTCATAGGTCACATAGTGATTAAGGCTGTTAAGTGATTAACAGCCAGCACTAGAACCAGGCTTTTCAACTCCAAGTCCAGAGCTTTTTCTTGTAAATCACATTGCTTCTTCTCAAGAGAAACTATTTCAAATACAAACTCTTTCACCATAGTATATACTGTTTTGATAACAAAAACTGTACTTTTCTCAAATACCCAGATGGAAGACCATATGTAAAATCAATGCCAAAGATTTTTTTTTCTTATTGGCCATCTGCTAAAATTTCATCTTCACAAAATTTTCCACTGAGAATGCTCCGTGTTTATCCCTGGTGCCACCTGCTGATCACATGTGGGTAGCACTTTCCCAAACTGATAACAGGAAATTGTGAATTTCTCATTTCCTTTCCCAAAATAAATGTAATACCAATTCCTTGTAAGAGAGGGAAACATCAAATTTTAAAATATTATAAGACTTCACAATATACCACAATCTTTAACAAAAATCACAAAATTGTAACCTGTGCATCACTTTGACTTTACTCTTGGCAGGAACAAGTAATAGACTGGTAATTTCACTGATACAGGGAATTTCCTGGTGAGAACACTCCCTCAGGTAGTCAGAGAGTTACCTAGTACACTGAAAGATTGAGTGACTTTCCCAGTTGTATTCCCAGCCAATATGTGTCAGAGGTAGGACTTGAACCCAGATAATTCTAGTTTCAAAACTGGATCTGCCCACTGTGCCATGCCACCTCACCCTTGAGAGTTTCACTATATTACTCCAACTCATGCATGACGTTCATTGTTTGTAGGTATATTTGAAGATATTTTTCTTCACAGAAGAATTATATAGAATATTAGAAGTCAAGTCAAATCAATAATCATGGAGTTGGGAGAGGGGTAGATGAGAAAGGGCAAAAAGCAGTAGCATTCCAGTTTGGCTGCAGCACAAAGTGTTTAATGCTCTTCATGAGAAGCTGTCATTTACTACCTCTAATATCACCGTTGTAGAAGAAAGAATGTTGGGCTTAGGATCAAGAGAGACCTAGGTTTGTAACCTTTGCTGGCTCTTCCTCCAGGTCACACCTGCTAACCATGGGTGTTCCCAAGGCCCTATTATGGACCCTCTTCTCTTGTCCCTTTATATTACATCACTTGGTGGTCTCAACAGCTCCCATGGATTCAATTATCTCTATGTAGTGAATTCTAAGTTCAGTTTATCCAGTCCTAACTTCTCTCCTGACCTCCAGTCACATATCTGCAATTGGCTCTTGGACATCTGGAATTGGATGCTTCATAGACATCTTAAACTCAACATGTCTAAAACTGAACTGATCTTTCTCTCCAAACCCCTTACCCTCCTCCTAACTTTCTTATTATTGTTGAATATATCACAGTCCTGCCAGTCACCCAGGCTCAAAACCAAGGTGTCAAAACCAAGTCTCAACTCCTCCACTCACCCCTCCCATACTCAGTTAATTGTCAAGTCCTGTCATTTCATAACATCATATATACATATATATGTACATATATACACATACATATACACACACACATATATGTGTGTGTGTGTGTGTGTGTGTGTGGTGTGTGTATATATATATATATATATATATATATATATATATATCCCCTTCTCTCCTCTGCTTAGTTGGTTTCCCTGCCTCAAATCTCTTCCTACCCCAGTTTATCCTCTACTCCACTGTAAAATTGATCTTCCTAAGTCATAGATCTGACCATGACACCATCCCCACCCCCCTTTATCAACTCTAGTGGCTATCTAACACCTCCAGGATCAAATATTAAATCCTGTTTGGCTTTCAAAGCCCTTTGTAACCATGCCCCTTCCTATCTTTCCAATATAACATCTGACTCCCCTCAGCCCCTACCCCAAGCACTCAGTGTTCCAGTGACACTGGCCCATTTGTTGTTTCTTGAGTAAGAACCCACTCTCCCTCCTATCTCCAGGCACTTTCATTGGCTGTTTCCCAGGCCTAGAATTCTTTCCCATACTATCTCCTCCTCCTGGCTTCTCTGGCTTCCTCCAAGTCTCAGCTAAAATCCTACCTTCTACAAGAAGCCTTTTTCATATTCAATTTTAGAGCATACCCTCTAAGATTATCTCCAACTTACCCTGCATATATCTTTGTACATAGTTCCTTGCATGTTGTCTCCTCCACTACACTGTAAGTTCCTTGAGAGCAGGGATTGGATTTTGCTCTTTTTTGTATCCCTAGCACTTAGGATAGTGTGCCTGGCACATAGAAGGTGCTTCATAAATGCTTGTTAATTTGATACTAGCTGTGACATTAGCTTGGTCTGTTGTGAAAATATGCAGAGGATACACAGTTAAAACTGAGACTTTTCTACTGGCTCAACAAAAAAAAAATAGTGCAGACAAGAATATACTGAGCCCTAATACCGTCAAGACAATAAGTGATACCAAAAGGCAAAGCAAGCAGGAGAAGGAAGCTGATCATTTCCATGTTGAAAACCATAGAAACATTGGCACAGTGAAAAGCTTTCCTATGGACAATTAACAAAAAACTGAAGGCCAACTTCAATTTTAATGTTGGATACGTAATGATTTTATCAAAATTTCTGAATGATTTAACACAGAAAAGCATATCAGCTATGCACACAAAAAGACAGCAAAACAGAAAAAACACATAATATATGGCAATGTCTTAGAAATTAACCCATAAGCTACATAAATCACCATTAAAAGCCTAACCAAAATGGCACAGATCCACGGAATTTTAGCAATACATGAGACCTTAAAGTACAGAATGTTAGAAATTAGAACACCAAAGCTTGTGAGGTAGTTAAAGTATTATTCCCATTTTACAGATGAGAAAACTGATACATTTTGAACATAGAATATTAGGACATAGAATTCCAGAGCTACGAGGGACCTTCAGACATTAAAACATAGAACATTAGGACACGTCAAAGCTGGAAACAACTTTGGAATATAGAATTTTAGAACACAATCATAGAACGGCAAAACTGGAAAAGACCTTTTAACATAGAATGCTGAAACACAGAATCATAGAACTTCAAAGATCAGAAGGACCTTAGGAAGCATTTACTTTCAAATCCCTCATCTTATTGATGAAAGAATTGAGACCCAGAAAAGTTAAGCAACTTGTCCAAGATCCCAGGGCCAGTTAATGGCCATGCCAGGAAGAAGCCCCAGTTCTAGTACTCGTTGCACTACAGCCTGCTTTCTCCCACACTGAATAACTTCTATTTGGAACTACTTCCCAAAGGGTCTCCCTGCCTCGCAGTGGGGTAATAGGGTTAAAGCAGGATGAGGTTATGGAGGTCATCCAATCTGCTCCTCTGTTTTACAGATGAGATGACTCCTGTTCAGAGAAATTACATGACTTGACAAAGGTTTATGACAGAGCCAGGATTTGAATGCAGGTCATTTGGCTCCACTTTCCCTTTTCAACCCTAACATTATATGTTTATATATATATATATATATTATATATATATGGCAGTACAATTTAGTGAGCAGTGCAGCAGACATGGAAATTCACAGAACCTCTTTGGGAATCAATTTTCCCATCTGAAAAAATGGGGATAATGCTTGAACTAACTATCTCACAAGACTGGCACTTATACAGCTCTTCAAAAATCTGCAAAATGCTTTATATCCACTACTCACTTGAACCTCACAGAAACTCTGTGAAATAGATACCATCAATAACCCCAGTCTTACATATGAAGACACTGAAGCTCAGAGATGTTACAAGACTTGTCTGTCACATAACTACTGAACATTGGAGGTGAAATTTGAACCCTAGTCTAATTAATTACAAGCTCAGTGCTCATGTCCAAATTTGTGTGGTACTTACCTGTATTCATGCCTTAACCCCATTACTAGATCAGACGCCTTTTGAGGGTAGGCGTCAGGTCCTATTTACTCTTGTATCTCCCCCTAGTTCCCAGAACCATGCATTTCACATGCATACATAGTATGGACTAAATAGATGTTTATTGGATGATTGTTTGTTTGTTGAATGAATATATGCAAAGATGGTTTTAGAGCACTGTCTCATATTAATAATTGTGACCAAAATTGTCATAGACACAGATATAGGTCATGACTCTTAGCTTTAGAATGTCCTCAGAATGGGATCTACCTGAGCAACAAACAGCTGGAATTCATCAGGTAAAATCCAGGAGCGAGGATAGAAGTTGTACTCCTCAGGAAAGAGATCTTGCATGATTCTCACAGCTCGGCTCAGTGTAATTTTCCGCACCATTTCTGTCATGCCTGGTAGGAGGAGAAAGGAGGAAAGAAAACATTGGGAAATGCAGCACTGTGGGGTATCTACACAGATCTTAGACCCGAGAACATAGAATATTAAAAAATACAATCTAAAATATTCTATATGTCGATGTTCTGTGACTTACCCCATATTCCACCCAACATACTACTTTTCAAGTAGAATTAAGAAAATATTGAATTTGATGACAAAGGCCAAACAGATCATGGAAAAACCAAAGGGAATAAAAGTGTCTTTCTAACCCCATAAAAATAAATGGCTAATGTTAAAGCAAAAGCTATACTTGGCTTTGTTACCAACCTCTAGGATGAAGGGTTTCATTTTATTTAACTCAGCAAGCATTTATTAAGCACCTACACCATGCCAGACACTACACCAAACACTGGGAATACAAAGACAAAAATAAAACAGTCCCTGTCTCAAGAAGTTTAAATTCTACTGGAAAGAAGATGAATAGAGAAAATTTAATATAAAATATGTATAAAGTAATTTCTGTAGAGAGGGTGCTAGCCACACAGCAGGCTCAGGATGGGCCTCAAGGAGAATGTGGCACTTGAGCTGAACTCTGCAGGAAGCCGAAAGTGCTAAGCTGAAGAAATAAAGAGGGAGCATATTCCAGGCCAAGGCACAAAGACAGAAGATGGAACATTGTACTAAGTTAATGCCAAATGGGCTAGTTTGACTGGAAAACAGAAAATGATGTGCAATAAACCTTGAAAGGTACACTGGCTTCAGGATGCCAAGTACAGGAGTTTAATATCTTATCTTAGAAGCAAAATGAAAACCCTCGAGTTTCTTGAGAATATCAGTTTGGCAGTTGTGCGGAGAACAGATTGGTGAAAAGAGAGACTGGAAACAGGGAGGACATTTAGGAGACTATTGTCCAAGCAAGACATAACCAAAGTCTGAGAGGGGGTAATAGCTGCATGAGTGGGGAGAATGTGGTGGATATGAGATATACTGTAAAGGTAGAGTCATCAAGACTTGAACATTGAGGGATGAGGAAGAGTGAAGAATTGAGGATGATTACAAGGTTACAAACATGGGAGATTGGAAGTATGGGGGTGCCCTTAACAGAAATAGAGAAATTTTGAAGAGAGGAGAGTTTGAGGGAAGAGAAAATGAATTGTTTGGATATGTTGGGTTCAAAATGCCTATGGGCCATCCAGCTGGAGACAAATAAGTGAAAAAGCATTTATTATGTGCTTAATATGTATACAAAGCATTGTGCTGTGTTAGGGATACAAATAGAAAAGAAAGTCCCTGCTCTCAAGGAGCTACCCCTCTAACTAGGAAGATAACAAATAGGGCAGAAGGAAGGGCTTGGAGGTCCTAAAAGTTCACTGGCAGGGTAAATGGCAAGGCAAAAAGTCTTTAGTATCCATGAACACCCCACCACCACCATCATCATCACCAGGATGGGAACACAGAAGGAAGTAGCTCACCACTACTGGTAAGGGGAGAGTGCACCTAAGAGTCAGATTTCTTAAATTATCTACCTTGGAATATGCTCTCCCTGAGCCCCTAAAATCTACTCCTCTCTCCCCCAACATCTCTATCCACTGCAATCTTACCCCATTCTTCAAAGTTTTCAAATGCCATATCCTCCAAGAAATCTCCCCTCATTTCCCTCAGCTAAAAATTATATTTCCTTCTTTGGACCTCAAATAGCACTTTGTTTATATCTTTCTTGTGCATTTAGCATGTCCTATTCTTATATTTTGGGAATCTAGGTCCTATCTCCCTTAACAGACTATAGGCTGGAGCTTGTAGGATGGCTAGACTATGATTTATTCATCTTTGTGGATATCTCCTACAATGCCTAGGACAGTGCCTTGCACTCAGCTGACATTTAATAAAAAGTCATTGAATTGAACTGACTTGAGAGAAATAACTCCTACAATCTATCTATAGCACACAGACATTTAAGTAACTTGCATTTTTCACATTTCTTGAGTTAGTGCTAGAAGTACTAAATGGGATAGGATATACCAACACCATCCCATTGCAAATAATTCTATCTTGTACCTTGAACAGAATATGGAAAAAAATATTGTGAACAAAATGTGTGACCAAAGAGAATCTTAAAGACTTTGAGAGTTAAGTACATATGACACTTAAATATATTTGCCCTAATGATTTTTAAAAGAGTTATATTTCAAATGCTTAAAAGGTTAAATTTCAAATGCTTCGAAAACTTAGCAAGTCAGAATTATCCTAAATTTCAAATAAATGAAGTCTAAATTAATAAGGTTTGCTTGAACTTATTAGACATGGAAGAAACATAGACTGTTAAAAATAACAGCCATAAGGACTAAATATGTGACATCTTTTGTATATGAAATCTTCTAAGACAGGAAACTCCCTGTCAGAGATTCTTTGAACTTATTCTCTTAGAACATTACCCAGAGCATTTCAATAGTAAATAACTTGCCCAGGCCCACATAGCTATTGTATGTCAAAGGCGATAGTTGAACCCTGGTTTACCTCATTTTGATGTTAGTCCTCTAGCCATTGTGCCAAGTTGCCCCTACAGAAAGAGCTTACATTTATATGACACTTTAAGATCTACAGAGTTTTCTCATTCAATCCCCATTAACAACCCTGTGAAATAAGTATACAGGATATCATTGTTCCTATTTTATGAATGAGGAAACTAAGTCTCAGAGAGATTAAGTGACTGTTATCATTGCAAAACTACTAAGAGGGGAATGTGGTATTAGAACCCAGGTCCCTCTTTCTTGACTCCAAATCCGGCATTCTTTCCATTACAATATGCTGACATGTTGGGAATATGAATAAAGGCTTAGAATATAAATCAGAAATTTAGTGCTGGAAGTGACATCATAGAAGTCATAGAGATATCCATTCCAACCATCTCTTTTTATATATGAGGAAACTAAGGTCCCACGGAGATGAAATTATTTGCCCAAAGTCACACAACAAGTTCCTAGGCCCTGGGAGCAAAAAGTGAATTAAGAGGATAAAGTTTTTAACACATGGAACTTCTTGACTCACACAGCATAATAAACCAAAGCAATACATCTGAAGAGCAGAGCTTAGAGTTGTCAATACTGTAGTTCTTAGCTCTTGTTTAAAAGACTGTCAGAAAGGATTAAGTAAGAAATCAAGGAGCTTAAAAAGATAGGGTGGCTATAATAAGCTGAACTCTAACACGAATTCTTCAACAATAGAGACAACTCACTGTGGCTAGTACTCTGAGATTTTATAAGAAGAGACTAGAGTCCAGTCCAATGGACTACTACTTCCTTTTCCCCCAATTAAAACAGAAGTTTCAAGAAACCAGAAATAAGCAGGCTCAGAAGCTAAACAGAGGGTCCTGTTAAGAGTTTATCAGTTATCAGTTTATCTGGTTAAACCACCTTGCTGGTTTAATTTATGATTCCCAACTTGATATTCTGTTAAAAATCTCAAAATCCTTTCTGAATAAAAGCAATATAACAGAGACCCAACATTATACCCTGGGTGGAAAAGATACAGAATGAGAATGTTAGAGTTGAGAGGGACCTTAGCACATTACAAGCTCCTCAATTTACAGATGATAAAACTGAGACTTAGAGAGGCTGTGACCTTTCCAGCTGGAATAAAATCAAAATTCAATTCAGTAAAAAATTAACAATAATGAAAACAATAAATAATAATTGATAGCATTTGCATAGTACTTTAAGGTTTACAAAACACTTTATAGACATTATCTCTTTTGCTCCTCACATCCCATAAGATATTATTGTTCTTATTTTATAGATGAGAGGAATGAGGCTCAAAAAGATTAAATGATTGTCTATGTTCACACGGCTAATAAATGTTGGAAGAAGAATTCAAATTCAGGTCCCTCTTGATCCCAAGTCCAGTACTCTTTTCATTAGGAATGGACATTCTAAGCACTCGCTAGATACAAGTCACTCTAAGTACTGCTAGGGGAAAGGAGAAAGATATAAATGTTACTCTGAGAGAGATTACAGTCTTACGGGGGAAAGATATGTATACAAATCACTGTGATAAAAAGGAGAATGGGACCAAAAGTTGAAGTTTATATATTACTTTCAAGTTTACAAAATGCATTACACAAGTTATTTCATTTGACCCTCACAATAAAAAAGGTAGGTACTACATTTGATCATATGGAAAATTTGATCAATATGGAAAATAAGTTAAAGGACTCAGAAAAGTTAAGTGACTTGCTCTTAGTCTCATAGCTAATGGTAGTCAGGTAGAAAGACTTCAGGATTTGGAGTTTGGAGGTCCCAGGTTCAAATCCTCATACTTACTACTCCTGTGACCTTGGAAACATCATAACCTTTCAAAGGCCTCAGTTTTCTCATCTGTAAAAAGACAAGCTTGGAACAGATGACATCTAGGGTCCCTTCCAACTCTAAATCTATGATCTTCCATTTGAAAAACTCCAAATTTCTTTTATCCAATCCTAATCTTTTATCTTTCCATCTCTCCTTATGCCTCATTCCTGTCAAACCCTTTTATCCATGACTTCCAATCTCTCTATTCCATTGTACTATCCCAAACTATTACCCCTGCTCTAGCTACACTCTCCTCTCTTACCCAGCCCTTAAGCCCTTGTTGAGCCAGTTCAACTCTACACTATCCTCTACTTTTGAATCCTTTGTTCTTGTCCTACTTCTTACCACACCTTGACAGACCCCAACCCTGATTTATTCCTACTATCTGCCTCCTTCGCCGCTAAACACAACTGGAGAAAATAACAGAACCATGCTGACTGGATCTACTGAAAATTTATGCTAGCTAATCTCAACTAGGCCCTCAATGCAACAAGGCAACTCTACTAGTCTTCCTCTCTAAATAATTCCCCAGCCCATTCAACACAGCAGCTGTTCCACATCTCTTCTTAAGTCTCTCTTACCTCTCCCCCCTCTAGTCCCTTAGCTGGACTTTGCCTCCCCATGCTCTAGGCTGAGGACTTCACCTCATGCTTTACTGAAAAAAAAAATGA